CATGCCATACGAAGAGCCTTCTCGCGTTTGACTCCGGATATCTTCCGACTCTTGTTTACTTCCCATGTGCGCCCCATTCTCGAATACGGATTACCTGCCGTCTTCCCTCTCACCAAGTTCGAATGTGACCTCATTGAGAAGGTCCAACGGCGGGGATCGAAATACATCTTGGAGGTACGGGACTTGCCTTATCCCCTGAGACTTCAGCGGATGAACCTGTTCTCCCTGGATTATCGCCGACGTCGCGGTGACCTGATTTTCACCAGGCGCATCCTGAGAGGAGAGATGGGGACGGAGCTGCAGGCGTGCTTTCAATTCAATGCAAACAGTTCAACTCGAGGCCACAACTGGAAACTGTTTAAACCCAGAAGGCTCCGGGTTCGTCCTGCTCTCGCTCTATCAACTCGCGTAGTCAACGATTGGAACGACTTACCGAAGCATGTGGTCGATGCCCAGACTGAGGAATGTTTCAAGCGAATGTTAGATTCTTATCTTTTGAGTACGATGGGCCCTTGCAGCTTCCACTGTAGCTGTCACGGTCCCTTGTGGATTACCGCTTAACATCGAATCGCGGCCTCCACACAATGATCGGGAAGCGATGGAGCTGACAAAGGATTTCTCCTTCTGCTCTCTACAATCCTATGATCCTATGAAGAATAGTGTGGAAAGTGTATTCACATTCCTAATACTACTCGCCAGAACACTTTGAAAGGTGGAAGAAGTGGCAATCACAACGACCCGTCGCACAACCACGCGATCCGTTAAACATAACCCCTCCCCCGCCCACATTCGAACCCCGGCCACCAGACTACAAGACGCGCACCCTACCACTACACCAAGGAACAACGATGGTGGGTCATCACTGCTTATATTCCTACCAGAACGACAGTCCGCTGACATAAGTCATATCCTTGTCAGGTATCCATGCAATCCCTTTCTGTTACATGAAACTAACATCGGAATGTACGACCAATCATGACTTAGCAACTGGGTGCACCCACGTTAGATTATTCGAAACCGATGGAGCTGACAAGGGATCTCCTTCCTGCGCTCAATATTCCAATGTATTCCAATGTAAGTGACTGCAAATAATGTGCTTAAATAAATAAAGGGAAAAGTTTATCATTGGATGATAGAGAGCAGAAGGAAGATCGTTTGTCAGCTCATTTACTTCCCAATCATTGCGGAGATGGCGTGGGTCATTGCGGCAGAAGGTTCCGCAGGGGACCACTGTAGCTGTCTTAGAGGCAGCAGAATCCCAGCGCATTCAGGTGAAAATCCAACAGTTATCTGAAACCTTCTTATGTCTCAGCATCAACAATAAGATCCGGCAACCGGTTCCAATCATTTACCACGCGAGTTGATAAGGCCAAATTGAGCCGCACACAGAGATTCCTCGGTTTGAACAGTTTCATGCGGTGGCCTCGTGTCGAACTCTCAGTGTTGAGTTGAAAGAAGTCCTGTAACTCGCAACCCAGTTCTCCTCTGAGAATACGTCGAGTGAATATCAAATCTCCTCGGTGACGCCGGTAACCTAGAGAGAACAAGTTCAGTCCTTGAAGTCGGTGTGGATACGACAGGTCTCGCAACTCAGGGACGGATTTGGATCCACGCCGTTAAACCTTCTCTATCATATCACATTCGGATTTGGTGAGAGGGTAGGTAGCGGGTAGCCCGTATCTGAGAATCGGGCGTACATGCGATCCAAAGAGGAGTCGGAAAAGTCCCGGGGTCAGGAGAGAAAACCCTCTACGTATAAAACGGAACATCCTGTAGGCTGCGACAACCCTCTTCTGTGTGTCTTGAATAGATTTGAGGGTTGATGACACTAGCACTCCAAGATCCCTCTCTTGGGTTGCGCTTCTGAGCAAGGAACCACCAAGGTGGTAAGTTCCAAATGGGTTAGATGAGCCAACGGGGAGAACAGAGCATTTATCACGATTTACGGGCAACTGCCACTTAATTCACCAATCATGCAGTAGATGGAGCCTAGTTTGTAATCTGTCCACGTCTTCAAGGCTGGATACTTCCATCCATAGCTTTAGGTCGTCAACGTAGATTAGGCAATCCGTCTGAAGAGTGGATGGTAAGTCGTTGATGAAGATAATGAAAAGTACGGGACCGAGGGCAGAGCCCTGTGGGACCCCACTCGTCATGAGAACAGGAGCAGAAAATGTGTCATTCACCTTCACTTGCATAGAGCGGTCGTTTAGGAAGTCGGAGATCCAAGACAGGAGGTTCCCAGAAATACCGATTCCTTGGAGCTTAAACAGGAGCCGTTCATGCGGGACTTTGTCAAAAGCTTTGCTGAAGTCAACAAACACAACGTCCAAGCGTTTGCCGGAGTCTAGCGACCTTGCCCAGGTCTCCTTACCAACGAGCAAGTTTGAGGTACAGGAGCGTGCTTTTCGGAACCCATGCTGGGCATAAGAAATGACATTCTGTCCCCCAAGATGAAGAGTAACAGCTTGTTTTAGGATCCGTTCCGTAACTTTACACATTATAGACGTCAAACAGATTGGACGATAATTGGCCGGATCATGTCGACTTCCTCCTTTGTAAATGGGTTTAACGATACCCACTTTCCAAGCTGAAAGAAGACGGGCAGCTTCTAATGAGTGACGAAAGACTTGACATATGGGTGAAGCTATGTATTCCGCCACATTCCTGAGGAACAAATGATGCAATTCATCAGGGCCGGGTGGGCGATACGGATCTAACCGAAGAAGAAGATTCATCACAGAATCAGTGTTAGTATCTACTTGGGCCAACGAAGTTGGAAAGGTGGATACGGCTCTGTCACTAAATGGTGTTTCTTTCGCGTAAACAGAAGCGTACTGCTTGGCCGAGTGACTAGATTTCTCAGTGTCTTCGTAAAGTAAAGCTTGATGATCACAGGAACACAAAGCAGGGATGCCATTACCTGCTCTAGTGCTTCTTTTCAAATAACAGTAGAGCATTTAGGCGTGATTCTGGAGTGTTTTGCCAAGGATAGTTCGTATTGTTGGCGTTCCTTGCGCTTCATGGTGACACAAGCATTTCTGACCGTCTTGTAGCGAGAGAAAGCAAGTTCTGAATGAGATTGCCTAAAGCGGTCCCATAATTTGCGCCTTCTATTCATAGTTGACCTCAATTTTTTATCCATCCAAGTGGACCTTTAGTGAAGGGCTTTCGATGGGAGAAAGGAACGACCTGCTCACTTAACGACGTCATTTTGGAGTACAAGATTCCACGCGTTGTTGAGGTAAATGTGTTCAGGTATACCCCAATCCGTAGCGCTTGCGGCCGTTTTCAGACGGAGTGGGTCAGCACGCCAAAATTTTCGACGGTGACCACCTTGGCTATGGATCGTGAGATGGCGAGTCCAGTGGAATGAAACAACACAATGAGCGCTCTTGCCTATATGTTGAAGAACGGTTAGGTTCGTGACATCCGAATCTGCAGGGGAAAGTATGAGATCTAGGATGTGCGGGGTCTGGTCTGGGAAAATACGAGTAGGCGTCAAGACATGTTGAACGAGGCTGCAGTCGAGAGCGGTCCTAAGCAATGTGGCATCGAAGGAGTCATATCGGCGATTACAAAGGAGTAGGTCCCAATCAATATCCGGTGCATTGAAATCCCCCAAGATTAGACAGTCTTTGTGCCCACCATACATCCTTATCCAGCCCAACAAGCGCACTCCGGGACCCGATGGCGCTCTGTGGATGACACTGACCAAGAAAGATATGCATCCGTTATGAACACGGCACCAGATGGCTTCGAAATTGTCATCCTGGTCACTGATAGCTTCAACTAAATGTACTTCGAGATCTGCATTCCAGTAGAGAATTACTCCACCACCTGAACTCACTCCAAGGCGATCGGACCAGGAGTGGTGATATCCAGAGATAGACACTACCAAGTCCGTGATATCTGAAAACAGCCAGGTTTCGGTGAAGGCCATCAGGTCTGGACGAGTCTCCGAAGTAAGCAACTGAATTGCATCCAGTTTATACCTTAGACTGCCTACATTGGCAGATAGCACGCGTAGTCCGTTTCTATGCTTTACTGTCTGCGGGTGACAAGCATCGGCCTCCAGCGCACTCTTGTGCTCTTCCGGACTACGCAAAAATCCACGATATGTAGGTCGGTTTCACCACTTGCCCGGCGCGTTCGGATCTCCTCCACAGCCTTCTTTATTTTAATTTGGTCCTCGGGAGAGAGGTCTCGTAACACGTAGAAAAATTCATCTTTGAGACGTGGAGTCTGTCGAAGGATGCGCGCGCACTCTTCGGCGTTTCCGCATGCAATCTTGAGGGGTCGAACCTTAGAGGAATTTTCCTGCTTCTTACCGAGGCGGAAGGGAGAGACAATGTTTATTCCCTGTTTGCCTGCATCAAACAGTAGAGAAATCATCTGCTCGAGCAGTAGTTGATCATCCAACATTCGCTCCGCCGAGGTATCCTTGTCCGATTCCGCCGTGTTCACGATGATGAGACAGCGGTCACAAGATGGCTGAATGTGCTCTGGGATTGGTGGCTTACAAGATGATGGATTTTCCTTTATCACTTATGAGTTTAACACTCGATACTAATTTTCGTAACACTGTGCATAGTGGGAATGCCAATGGGTCCCGCACCAGCGGTCGCAGCTATGCCGGTCACGTAAAATTCTAATTAAATCAAACAGGAGGAAAGGAGAAAGTGAGTGAGTGAGTGATGTGTCAGCTGTACGCCGTAACGGCGCTTCGCTGCCGCGCGATCACCACCAGTCGAGCGCGGGCTAAGTATACCGCGAGTACGCCCACTCCTACGCGGATTCAAACCGGTGACCTTATGGTTACAAATCAAACGCGCAGACCACTCGGCCACCGGCCGACAAGTACCTGAAAAGATAACTGAAGACGAACTAAGCACTGGAAGCCGGGTGCATGAGGGCATTTAAATTAACAACAGCAAGGGTGAGGACAAAGGCAGCAAATTTAAATCATCAAAAGTCGTAACAGAAAATGGTAGACGAACCTCAAGCTGAAACGACCGCTGCTCTAACTTTGATTTTAGAAGGTGAAGCTCGTACAGAGCGACCCCAAAGTTCTCCTTTAATTTTTGTGGGTGTAGGTCAGCGTCGTTAGAAGGCCATTGTAGTGCTGTTTTTGTCAACCTATCCAACAGCGCAACACCATAGTCAAAACCCTGCCGAGAATGCCGATCAGTAAAATGCGTAGTATTTACCGGAGGACAGTTGTCCCCGACTGGCATCGATGTATCGACCTAGAAAAAGGTCGAATTCAGGGTCAAGGACAATTAAGTCTTGAAAAACCAAAATGCCAGTTGGATACGTCCTCCACTATTTTTGGAATCAGAAACAGTATCACCGTTATGAGATAAATATTATAAACTAAGGCAATATCATTACCTAATTATCACCTTTGTCCGGACGGGACAGGACTGGATCATGGGAGGAAACATGCAACCGATTAACGAACAACCGACTTTGCATGCCGGTAAATGAAAACGCGCTCCAAGAAGCGCGACTTTATAGAACGTAATTTATACTATACTAAAGAAAAACAGAGAGCGTCCTATCCGCCACTTGGAAATAATGATCTTTCGGCAGTGTGATTCCGGTACACACTGTTGCAGGTGATGAGAGGTAAATTTTGGGCCATTGAACCCATAGTAATGTTTATTAATACTTGAGCATGCTCGCTGAAATCCTACCACCTCAGTTTGTAATCAATGTACTAAAGGGTTTAAATGCGTTACGATGGTTATTCAGTCTCCCACTTCACGCGTAACAGCCATGGTGGATGACTCGCTTGTATTCCGACGTATGCTTAAGGGTCCTTATCTGGACTTCGCATCGGTGAAGGAGGATCTGAAAGTGTTTCAGGTTGAAACGGCAACACCGTTTGTTGGTCGGAACGTTGTAACTACGAAGGCGTACCAGAGGGAGACCGGACAGGTGCTACCGGAAGGATGCCCATACCGGTATATTTTGTTTGGACGTATGCATGGAAAGCGCAGCAATGTTACTGGAAAGCGGTAAGTGCATGGTATTTGCCTGATGAGAAGATTACTATAGGTACCGCTATTACAATTGCCCGGCGCGTTTTTCTGTGACGTTTAAGGGCGAATGTTACGAAATTGGGAATGCGTTTCTGTAGCATCCGCACAGCTTTCACTTTGGGAAGCCCTGGCTGGATGCGAGAAATCGGAGACTAACAGAACCTCAGTAACGGCTGGTGCTGAACTTAATGAGAACCTTTCGTCGGACCCAGGAGATGCGTGCTTTTGTGCGGCAGCAATATGACATTCGTTTAACAAGGAGGGATTTGATAAGGCTTTCATACGGCGTCATAATAATGCTTGTGTCACCTAGGTGGAGGAGGTAACACACCTGTTGAAAAGAAATGGTCAGGTGAAAAATATGCATGAGGGGAATGAGATTCGTTACCTGTTTTTCGTTCTTTCTCGCATGCTTGATTTGGTGGGCCAATACGGGGAGGAAATTTTGGCTGACTCCCCATATCAGATCAATTACGGTGGCTACATCCTATGGCACTGCATGTTTGTGGACGTTAGCAGCCTGGGTATGAGTTTCTTTTATGTGCTTTAGCCAAATGAGACGAAGGTTGCTTACGAAGAGACAGTAAGTTGTATGTTGGAATTGGCCCCGCGGTTGCCGGTGCTTGGACTTTGGTGATGGACAAGTGTACCGCACAAATGAATGCGTTTCGGAATGCGTACCCCAATGCGAGCATCGTATTCTTCCGGGTACACATTTTGCGGGACATACGGCGGCGTTGAGCACACCTTCCGTTGTGTAACACGGAAGATAAGCGCGCTCTATTCAACATGCTGCGGTCGTTTTTGTACACGTACGATTGCGCGCATTACCATCGGATTATGGAAGGTATATCCCTGCGCAGCTCTGAATGCTTCCAATACCTCCGTCGTACATAGATACCATGGCGGCTTAGCTGGGCAGCGCATTTGATGGGCCACGTGGTTTTATTCAGATGTGACAGCACGAATCGCGTTAAAAATGAGATTAAGCATCTGAAAGAAACTGAGCGAGCGGTCAACCCTACTGCGCCTGGTTCAGGTGATAGTGCGGCGTGCTAGTAACATCATTGAGGCGAGGGAAACAGTGCTTGCCAGAGATCAGCTTGGTGTATGCGTGGTTGAACACGGTGTCAGCAGTGGGGACGTTATTTTGCTCAGGCTATCGTCCTACGCCCGACGGCAGTACGCGCTGCACAGTGTTCGAGTTCGCATTCGCAGTGTTAACCAAGGCGGCGGGTATTGGCTGGTGGACGAGGAGCGCTTTGGGATGCAACTTGTCGTCATTGGAAATGGCGGTGCATGCGGATGTAGATTTAACCGGCAGTGGCGCATTCCATGTGCGCACATTATTCACGTGGCAAGCCTACACGCGTACGAGGAGGGGGATGTGCTTCATGGTTGCCGTTGGGCGTTGCCAGCGATAAGTACATCAGCGCCGGTCCTTTCGGAGAACAGGGAAGGGACGTTGACGTTGGCGCGGGTGCGATGCCTGAGTGATGTAGTTTTTGACCGGGCCGCGAAAATTCGCATCAATCGGGATATGTTTGCTGCTCTGGAAGCGCAGATCCTGAGCATGGGCACCGAGGAGTTTCAGCGCACCATGGTCGTATTTGCACGCGTGCATGAGTTGCTTGCATGTCCCAGTAATGTGCAACTTTACGCGCGGTCATTCCAGTTGGAACAACTGCAACAGTTATCGTCGGAAGACCTGTCTAGCTCCCATGGATAGCAGGGGTCATCCTCCGGTGCTGCTACCCAGGTGACGGCAGGCAATGGCACGCGTACCGGCAGGAATTCACCGGAGACGGGCGTCAGCGAATGGATCCCCTTGGTGTCGCCCGTGGCTGGTGTTTCCCAGTCTCCTTGCAACGACCGCAGGTGGCGGAAACGGAGGTCATCTTTGTTACCGCGTACGGCAGAGGTGGTGGAATGCGCCATGATGTCACGGGATTTGAAATTTTGTACCCTGAAAAGGAGGACATCCGCGCGTCACAGCGCATACACATGGCATTCAAAGAGAGGCACTGCTGCCAAAGAAGCGGACATCGCCGTTTATGCTTTGTGTGAGGAAGAGGAGGACGTGTGCGTGAGTTTGGAGAAAGTCGATTGGATAAAATGCGATGTTTGCTGTAGATGGTTTAATGAAACTTGCGCAGCATACCATGGGGAGGCGGCATACACATGTGCGCGCTGCTGCGTGTTAGTTCCGTTTCACGTGTGTCACGTAGCTTTTTAGGGATACACAGGAGCACGATGTCAATGTTGCATAATGAACTTCTGGAAATGGGAAACCCTTACAATCGGTAAGTTCACACGTCATTGCTTTCCTTCCCGAACTCCATACTTCCTTGGCTATTTTGTGACCATTGTACCTGGGACGTGCGTATTACTCATGGTAGGTTGTCGCTTCCAATTACATTGCGCAATGGTGTAATTGGAAGCCACGCATGTGGGGCAGTTTTTGCCGGACCAATGAACGGCCAAGCAATGTGATGGCCGGGGAGAGTGATTCGTTAGCGCTATATTACTGTGTCTTTCTCGTCATAGAAGAATTGAATAAGTGAGGAATGAGGGAAGGGGGAGTTACCTGCTAACGTGAATGCCATCAGCAAGCAGTCATGGTCAACGGCGTGAACACGGAGTGCAATCAACATACCGTGACAACCACATGGCTGACATTCTTACCCGAGTCGTCATCGGGGGTGGCAAGTCGACGCACAATGGAGTCACAGAACTGCAGTCCGAAAGACGAGAAGAAACAACGGCAGCCACTTCGGTGATCAGTGACTTCATTTCTCGTTGCCCAGTGAACTGCTGTCAATGCAGATGCTTGCGCCAGGACCAGGAAACTGAGTTCACCTGGCCTCTCACTATTGACGGATGTGGTAAGAGTACCTTCCTACTCAGGTGATGCATGACGAGCCATGGACGGTTAGTTTAGAGCCTCCGTCGGAGGCCGAAGTCCGAAACGCGATCACAGCCCTTAATCGTTTTCGTGCCGCTGGCCCGGATTCCCTACCACCTGCACTATTTAAGGATGGTGGTGAGGTCCTCTGCAAAGCACTGACCTCCCTATTCGAACGTATCTGGAACGAAGAGAGTGTGCCGGCTAATTGGAGCGAATCGATTATAGTGGCAATATACAAGAAGGGCAGTCGCACAGATTGTGCGAACCACAGGGGTATAAGCCTAACGCCAGTTGTGACAAAATTACTGGCCTCCATTATCGTTCGTCGCCTCACTGCAGAACGGGAATCTCGGATTAGAGAAGAGCAGGCCGGTTTTCGCCCAGGACGTGGCTGTATAGACCATATATTTACTTTGCGGCAGGTGCTAGAGCAGCGCCACGCATACCGCAGACCGACAATAGCTGTGTTCCTCGATTTCAAGAGTGCGTTCGATTCAGTCGATCGATCGATTCTGTTCGAAATACTTGCCCGGAAAGGTGTTCCCACGAAATATGTGAACATCCTTTGTGCTCTATACTCGAACACTACAGGCCGCGTCAGGGTCTATGGTGCCCTATCGGATAGCTTTTCGACTACAAGTGGCGTTCGACAGGGTTGCCCGGTTTCCCCGTTTTTGTTCAATTTCGTCGTGGATTCTATCATGGAGTGTTCCCTTGCGGAATCTCACGATGTAGGCGTTGAAGTGCTGCCTGGTGAACGGTTAGATGATCTAGATTATGCGGACGATATCGTCTTGCTTTTCGACAATGTTGAGGCGGCACAATCAACCCTGAATAGCCTATCCAGAGTGGTCCCATTATTTGGTATACACTTCGCACCTTCAAAGTGCAAAGTGTTGCTGCAGGACCACCAGCCACTCGATGACCCCTTGACGCTTGCTAACGAGGAACTCGATGTGGTTGATCAATTCACTTACCTTGGCAGCTGCATCAGCAATGATGGGCGCATAGAAACTGACGTTAGCTCACGCATTACAAAGGCCAGAGCTGCCTTCTTGAACCTGCGTCATCTTTGGCGACAGAAGGGAGTTCCGCTTCATCTGAAAGGCCGTGTATACAAGGCCACAGTGAGGGCCGTTCTGCTGTATGGTAGTGAAACTTGGCCCCTTCGGTCTGAAGATCTGAGGCGCCTTCAAGTCTTTGATCATCGTTGTTTGCGAAGCATTGCTGGTGTCGGATGGCACCAGCGTGTCCGCAACGATGATGTGCGTAGGCGGGTACTAGGGGTGATGATCATGCTAGCTCCCTAGAACAACAGATAGCACTGAATAAGTTGCGTTGGCTCGGGCACGTGCTACGCATGCCTGGTCACCGCTTACCTAGGAGGGCCTTGTTCAGTCTACCAGGTGTCGGATGGCGCAAGGCTCGAGGTGGACAGAAGTTAACTTGGCAGCGGGAAATGAAGTCACTGACGACCAAACTGGGTGCCGTTGGTCCGTCTCGCCTTCCGGGTTGGAGTCCACGTGACTCACCTTGTGCTTGGCTCGAGACTTTACAGGACATGGCTCGCAACCGACACCAGTGGCGCGTTTGCTGCCGTCTCCTAATCGGATTGTCTGTTTAAAGTGTGTTTGGTGCTGAGTTATCTGCGGGATAATGGCTGATTATGACGCGTGGCAGTGAAAGCCGCAAGGAAGCTGTCTCGCCGATGCCGCCTTATCTTTGCACGACAGCCAGCTGTTTGTGACGGTATGTTGTTAACACAAGGTGTAGGCGCCTTGACCCTGAATGTTTGCTTAGGGCATTAAGGTTTTCAGGTAAGTCCCCCTTCTCTCCCTCTTATTCTTTATTTCATAGGTCCTCATGGTTGTATGGCATCGAAGCATCAGTTCAAATGGCTGATGTACTGCTGTTGATGATGATGATGATGATGAGTCGTTATGTGCCCATCTTTGCCGATGCAGGTGCCAACGTTGGTGAAGTCATCAACTACATCGAGTTTCTCGCCATCAAGACTCATAGGGCATCAACTGCCTGGCGCTCCTGTAACAACACTGTGACTTACTTAAAGGTGTGAAGCGCATGCCAAATGGTGGGAAAACTAGAGGTTATTCCGGGTTGGTTGTGCCTTCCGAACAGTGATAAAAGCAGGACAATATCGTCCGCATAATCAAGAGCGTTTAGCTTTTTATAAGGCAGCGCCTCGATGCCTGCATTTTGAGGCTCCGCAAGTGAGCACTTCATGTTGGAGTTCACGACGAAGTTGAACAACCTTGAGTCACGTCACTTGTTGGAAAGGCATCCGACAAATCACCATAGACCCTGACGCGGCCTGTCCCGTTCGAGTATAGAGCACGCAAATTGGTCACTTATTCCATGGGAACACAAGTATTCCGAACAGAATGCATCAGTCGGCCGAATCGAACGCAAATCCAGGAATGATGCTGTTGTCGGCCTGCAGTGTGCGTGGCGCTGCTCAACACCTACCGCGGAGTGAATATGTGATCTATACAGCCCCGTCCTGGGTGGAAGCCTGTTCAGTCTTCCCTAATCCGTGATTCTCGCTCCGCAGTGAGGCGACAAACGAGAATTGAGGTCAGTAATTTTGTCATTACCGACCTTGTGATCAGCTCAGTCGGTGCGATTGCTCTTCTTGTATATCGCCACTATCACTAATTCACTCCAGTTCTCTGGGATGGTCTCTGCCTTCCAGACCTGTTCGAACAGAGAGGTCAGTGCTTTGCAGTGAACCTCACCACCATCCATAAATATTGCGAGTGCCAGGGAATCCGGGTCAGCAGCACGAAACTGGTTAAGGGCTTCGCTTACGTTTCTGACCTCAGTCTCCGACGGTGTCTAAACTAACCGGTCATGGCTCGGACTGCAACACTTGAGTAGGAAGAGGTCCATACGAAAGAGGACAACTGAACTGCTCTCGAAAGTACTACGCACAACGAACCATACGGTGCTCCTTATGCGACTTGTGATCTTCAACTCTGTACATTTGGCGGTTACACAATCCGCATGCCATCGTACTTCTATGTGCATTCAGAACATCTGGTCTCGCCTGTCGGCAAGTACTTATGCGCTCACCGTGCCCTTGCGGACGTTCACCAAAACGCACCCGCGGATTGGCACATACAAGTGCGTGATCTGAGTCCACGCATGCTCTTCAACGTTAACTATCGCGATGTGATCGACTTGCGTCCATGACTGGTTTAAGACGGGGGGCACCGTCACTCCTCTGCAGGTGCTGTGCCTGAAGTCAGTGCTGTCAAGAAATAGACGAGCATGTTTACGCAGGTGTAGCAATCGCACCAGTAACATTATGGTAGCCTGCACCGTGGATTGCGCTGTCAAGATACTGTCAGGTTGCCCAGGCCTATATAGGAGAACGGTGAGGGTTCTCAACCCAATGCATTTGATCCACAAACCTGACTACAAGGCTATAGGATTTTGGCACTGGGCTGCAGCAAGTCCATTTTACGGAAAATGGAGACACCATCACTTCAACCCCTAACACGGAGAGCCAGGATACTGAGTTCGTCTGGCCTCTAACTATTGACTAATCTAGTACGAGTGGCTCTGAAGGTGTAAAATGCACCGCACCGCATTGCTCACTGAATCGTGGAGGCGCGCTAACCATCGCACTACGTTAGTCTAGTTTCATCGCGACGGAGTTGACTTTGCAGCGGGAAATGAAGTCGCTGACGGTCAAACTGTTGTTAATCCGTCTCGCCTTCCAGGCTAGACTCCACGTGACCCGCCTTGTGCTCGACTTGAGGCGGTACAGGACATGGGTCGCAGTCAGCACCGGTTGCGCGTCTGCCGCTATCTCCTAGTGTATTAATGCTTGGCTATATGCAGACTAATGGCTGATTATCCGGCCTTTAGCCTTAAGGATCACAAGCCTGCCTTGTAGTCCGATGGCGCGGGTTCGAGCCTGCATAGGGACCGGGTGACCCTCGCAGTATCCTTAGCCCACCTGCAACTAGTGGTGGTTGCTCGGCGGCGATGCGTCGGTACTGTGTACCGGCGTACTACTGATGCCTTTATATTAATTAAGGGCTGGATATGAGCGCGGCTATGAAAGCCATGAGGAAGCTGTCTCATCAATGCCTCCTTATTTCGACACAGCAACCTGTTTCTGACGGTATGTCCTTGACACGGTGTAGGCGTCTTGGCCATAAGTGTATGCTTATGGCAATATGGTTTTACGCCAGACCCCTTCCTCCCATCATATTCTTGTAACGTAGCTCATCGTGGTTTCACACCAGGAAAGCATTGGCTCATATATTTGATGTTTCGTTTTTAATCAAGAACTTTGAGGAACTACAAAGATAAAATTGTAACCGAGTTTGAGGGAAAGCTTGTTTACCGCTCCTCGTAGCAGATTTTAAAACTCAATTTCAAAGAATCAGTTAGGGCTTTGGAATGTTGATCTGATTCCTACTTCTTCTAGCTCACGCTTTCTGAACCCTGGGTCGCTTTTTGTTTTAATTACTTGAACGTATTTCGCTCTTATTTTCTTTCATGGTTTTAGCCTTTTATTTTACATAACTTGCTCGGCAAATTTGAGACCATTATTCGGATTCCTGGGCTTCTACCTCTATCCGTTAATGCTATGAGACTGCCCGCCGAATTATGTCCTAATCATCCTGTCATATAATCGCATTCACACGATGTTTCTCCCGTTTCCTATAAACTGTTACCTTGAGTCTTGCTTCCTGAGATTCGCCCATACTCTTGCTCGTGTCGTTTTATACGTGAAGTTTCACTTTTAACTCATTTCTCTGCTTTCCAGCCTTGCGATTACCAATGGCACTGAAGGTTACTAATGCCGTTTCCCCCTCACAATTCATTGACAGTATCGGTAAGCCTTTCATTGGTCTCCGGACTTTCTTGTTAGATGTGAACGATCCGGAGTATATTCGGCAGTTGTTACGCCCACCGGCGATCAAAGAGGATCTTAACTTGATGCAACAGCGATCACGTGTTTCCCTTATACTCAGATCACCGTATTTTCGAAAGGAACTGGAAAAAATTGTGGCATCTCAGATGAAAGACGGTTACCTCAGCACCAATATATACGCTTTGAAGCAACTTCTGGACTATTTAACTCCACAGACTAAGCTCGGTTCCTCCAACTTCACGCGAGGTACGTTCTGTCGATGCTGCCATTCATTCCACATGCAGCGTCACTTCGTCACCCCCAGAGTGCACCCAAAATTAGCTCACTTATATTTCAATGTTTATTTTACCCTCATATGCTTGCTAATTGGTCGAATTGTGTGAATGATATTTGGCGCTATCTGGACAGCTTGATCCGCTTAGCCGCGTTTTTCAATGAGCTAGGCTGGATGACCCTTGTCGAATATTAAACCTATGGGAGGAACTTATCCCCAACCTGATAGCAAACCAACGATTGGTTGGTGAACCGCCCTATTCAGACTTGTTGACTTTGGGCACGAATATCCCTGTCTGTCTCTGATTGTGACAAGCACAACTGTTGCTCTCTGGTTTGACACCGTTCACTTCCGACCAATTAGCCGTTGGTCAATGAGAAACAACCTCACCGTAGTCCCGTGGGAACCCGCAGTCACACTCCTGAGCTGGGCATGTTGCCCACTGCCTTGCGGATCAAAGAAAGAAAGGCATTGGCAGTACGGCAGCACGTTGCACTGATGCTTCACTGCGGCACAGGGGCTAGCGATAACACGAGGACCCCCGTACCTACGCAAACTCTCGAACTGATAACCTTTGTGTTACACAAGACAGATGCACCATCCCCCAATGGCCATCGGCCGACCTTTTCGGACCACACTGCTGACGCAAATTTCCAGGTGGAATCACACTAAACGATATCTTTAACCCACGGCCTTGTGAATTAGACTGGAGGGAAAGGTTATGAGCCGGAAAATTTGTGTAGTATCCATCTGTTGGAGTGGTTCACCCACATAGCTCCTTCTCTTCCTTTCCCTTTTCACGCTCTGTTTCCAGGTAGTCCAGAGGACAACATACCCCGACTTTACGATCCATGCTTATTGTGTGCATCCGCTTTCCCAATCAAAGATTTTAATTTGCATTCAGTTTCTCCACAGTCGTATTCTATCAAATTGGTCAACAAGCAACTACGTTTCTCACTTTACATTCCCTTCGTGTTGGAGTGGCTATCTCCTTATCGCTCATACGAAACCTCAGAGTTCTCTCGTCGTTAACTACTTGGCTGGGAATCTTGGTACGACCCAGCTGATTTGAACAGTACAGGCGGCACTCTAATACCGTTCGATAGCTTTCTTCAACAATGGGGACCAATGCCTTGACCAAGTGTTGCGCATGTCCGAACACTTTCTCCCGCGTCGTGCGCTGTTCGTGCACCGGAGGTGTGGATGGAAGGAGTGAGGTCAAGCCATGACCTGGTCAAGAGCTTGGCCTCGGTTGGAACCTCTCGACTCCCTGGTTTGGATCGGAAAAACGCTGAACACGTTTGGCTTGATACACTTGTTGACATGGCTAGGAGCCGACCTCAGTGCTGTTTGTGTTGTGAGTTCCTTTGTCCCTCCCCTTCCCGCTTATCTTCCCCCTCCAACCACGATCACATTTCGGGCACACAATATAACTGTTTTACGGCAAATAGCGGACTATTAGCTCTCCGGAACGGCGTCCATCCGTTACCGGTAGCTCAGTCGACGTGCCTTTGTTGCATTTATTTTTCTTCTCTAATTGCATCACAATAGCTGAGGTGTTACGATCTCTGTGATGAATACTATGGACACCTTTCTTTTCTCTTGCTCCGAATGGAAACTGTGTGACAACGCTGTATCTGTTGGTGATTTATTCTATTATTCTTAAAAGAAGAGGAGAAAGTCATCAGGAGTACGCCGGCACACTGTACTGACGCTTCGCTGACATGCGACCGCCACCGGTCGCTCGTGGGCTGTGTATACCGCGAGGACGCCCGCCCCTACGCAGATTCTAATAGTTGACATGAGGATTGCAAGTCAGGCGTGCAATTCTTTCAGTCACAGGCCAACTCTATTACTGTTAAGAGAAGCAACGTTTTTTTGCCTAGCATTCTAGTGCTACCGCTCACTGTCTCCCGCTCGCTAGTTAAAGTGTATACCCACACTGCTATCCATCCTCCCTTCTATTTTTCTTATACCGGCGTGAGCATTATGTTGTTCACTTGGGTTTTTATTTTTTCTCACAACAAATTGGGCTCAGTTTCTTCGCTCCCACTGATTTGCACTCATTTGTTATTCTTTTAGGCGCAACCATGCCCGTGTTACCCATCAACGATTTGAAAGGAGCACACCCTGCCAACTATCTTAGAGGCGAACGGCTGGTCCGGTGCAAAGTCGCATCACTCTGCCGTTTGGTTCACATTTTTGGTTGGAATAAGGGGATTAACTGCCACGTCACAGTGAGTGGACGTCTTGTGTGTCAAATAACAGCGTAGTTTCTGTCGCTCAAGTTGGGCGACGATTTCTTTATGCTATAACTGTTCAAACTTTTGCAATTACCTCACTGCGCACGCACGCCTCGATACTCAGTTGATATGCAGTACTTCGTTATGGCGATCTTCATAATAAGCCTGATTTCACTACAAGCACGATATTTTGGTCTGGACGTCCACATTCGCACAGTCAGAAGCTGTAGCAACCAAAATTGGAGCCTACGAGCTGTTTCTTTTGCAAAGCACCCAGTGACTACTGCCACCTTATCAGCCATGCCTCATCCTTACTTATATCCTCTCGCTCCTGTGTCCGTTTTATGCGACGGGCCGGTGTGTTCGCTGTGTTCAGGCCTACAAACAGCTCATTTTATGCTCGAGAAACATTGAGTCACTCAGCGATATTTTGCCGCTCTATGCTTTCCTTGTCGTCAACGCAATCTCCACCGCCATCGTCTTCATCAACAACCTTGCATTCTTTCAGGATTAGCTTTATGCACCCGGATGAGTACATTTTCAGCAGTTTACACTATGTACAACAAATGTAATAGAACAGCGTCAGTAAATATGAGAATTTTGCTAGTGTAAAAACAATGGGAACAGAGTGCATAGATGTTACTCGAGTAAACAGTTCCGCATGTTTAAGCAACGATTGCATATTGATAGAAAAAATTATAAGGTACATTTCATTTGGTTGCAAATAGTAAACAGCGAGTTGTACGCAGCCTTGGATAATTTTTCAAAGCATCGGTGGAGTTCAGCGACTTCAGTGACCTTGTCCAGCCGGGGAATTCATCAAACTATTCATGTAAAATTGATACGTTCGTGGTAGATAGTGCAAAAACGATGTTTCAGGGAGGGTAGCAACGGACAACTCAAAAGCCGCCCCCTGCCTTCATTGTCCTACAGCACGAATTTGCGTCTCTAATACCGAGGGATAGAAAGCGGGGAGGGAACGGGACTTCGTTTGAGCTTCATTTACCCTAGATAAGCATTCAGAATCAAAGCGCATATAGGTTGCTGGTTACTGCACGCGGAGGCCATCGTAAGTGTAACAACCTCTTTGTGGTTTTCATTGTCGTGTGCCTTACCTTACGGGTAACTCAGTGTTATGGGCATTTTTAGCATTTACCTTTAAACAAGGCATTTTTGCTTACCACTACTCTTGATAGATAAGATTAACCACCATGGTTAACAGTACTGGAACTCACTAGAATCATCAGCAGTCTCCTTGCAGAAAGGCTGTCTGAATGTATGCACTTTGCAGACTCAGTGGTCCTAAAGCGAGCACGAACCTTCCCAGCACAACGATTTTCTCACGTCTCTCCCGTCTATTTGATAATTTCCGGTAACTGTCCTGATGTACCTCCTTTGTTTTCGCTTAAACCTGTTGGTCAGCACTGTATTTGTGTAGCACAACCGCATCTGATGACAATCGCCTCATATCCTCATCAACTGATTTACGTCCATACTTAAACACCCGAAACCTTTTCTGACATTGTTGGCTTCCTCCACCGCACCGGCTTCTTCCTACTCGTCACTTTGCCCTGTCAACTGACTCCAGTGGAATGTCGACTGCAGGCGCTGCATATGTTCGAACCGGGTCAACTGAAATTCTTTTGTATTACGTACTCACCAGGTATAAGTACAGGCATATATCTTCTATTTCTCACTTTTGTCCCTTATCTAGGCACGCGTCACTCGTGATTCAAACGAATTTCTGATCAATCCACTGGGTTTGTTGTATCAAGAAGTGACCGCTTCGTCACTCGCCAAGGTTGATTTGAAGGGTAAGGAATCTTCTTTGCGTCTTCTCTTTGTCCTAAACTCTTCCTGTCTCGTTCGCACTTTTGCCCTCCGCTTTTTCATTCATACACAGGCGTCAAGCACCACTTGAGCACTGAGTGTCTGAGCCCTCATCTAAATAAATAGACGCTTATTCTCGGCAATACGAGACAAGCCCATTAAGGTATTTGTCAGCGATGCTATTAACAGGTTGTCTCAGTTCGCTACTATCTGTTGTTCGTCTCGTAGTATTCTTCAACAAGTCAGTAGAGTTACGAAAATACACCAACCATGTCGCCGCTGAAATCAGCTGCCTAATATACCTGAGTTCCATTCACGTTCTTTACCACCTGCTTAGCTGTCCCGTGTTCACTTCCTTACACACAGTAATCAGTATTTTCTCAGCGACAAGCACCTTTTGAGGGGTATGATTGAGTTTCGCCTTTTCCGGCCTGCAGTTGAAAGGCCTTTTATTGGCCACGCACTCTCGGTGGTGACGTTTTCTTTGTCATCACTTCACTGACTTCAAACATGTCAGCAGTTACCTTGTGTCCCTTACGTTGCGCGTTTCGGGTTAAATTACTCTCCGCCTTTTTTTGTCAATGCAGTATGGGATTATTTTTCCATGAGACAGAGGAGCATCAGCAATACGTAGGGTGTAACGTTCACCGGTCGAACGTTGAATGACGCGCAGCCAAATGATCCCGAAATCAAAACAAGTTTGGATCACAATATATGCGATACTAATCAAACACATACAGTTAACTAAAGTGGAGTAAAACCTCACTTGTTCAGGGTTTCGGTTTAACACCGTCAACAACAGTGCAAATAAACGAGCAAATAGAAAGTGCGCTGTTGATTTCACAGCTCAAAGCAGACCGCCAGAGGATAAGTAAAGTGACCGTACAGGAATGGAACTTTACACAGTCACTGGACAATAACCATGACTCAATCACAAAGCGAGCAAAGTTTATCAGGTGAACGTCAAGGCACACACACATACTGGACTGGGATCTATGGTCAACGGGCGGCCTGATAATCGCTTAGCAGGCGTCCACCTTAGTACAATGCTATGGACACGGCGATATCAAATTTAGTGAGTGGAACAAAGATTACGGTGAAGACAAACAAATGAGGGAATGAACGTGTAAACCACCGGAGTAGAGTAGGAACTCATGGGGAATTGAACAGTTTCCAAGGCAAGCACATGGTAGTGGGCTAAGGGCTGGACGAAGCTGGGGGTATATGGAACCAACCGGCGGGGGGTGGGGAGTGACATCCAGTGAACAAACGTCCCGGTTATCAGAGGACATGGACCAGAGTGTAGGTGCAGCCATCGCAACAACGATGAAAGGTCATTCGCAGGGACCAGAAAGTGCGACACAGATGACGAACGAGATCACGTTTAAGAGGAATTTTTCAGTCATTGCCAAACCTCACTACATAGTTCGAATGAAAAGTTCCGAGTCTGAAAAGCTGAATGGGATTCAAATTCTACCATGCTTTACTTTTTCAACATGATTACCCCCAAGCGCGACACACTGGCTCCAGCGGTGCTGAAGCGCCCTTATCACGGTGAAAAAGAACTCTTGGGCTTGTGTCTCTGAAAACTCTTCTACGGCTTAGCTTACATTACTGTCGTTGAGAAAATGTTTGCCACCTAAAGCTATTCCAAGTTTGTAAAAGCTAAAAGTCTGAAGGAACCACTTTTGGTGAATATGCTGGATGAGAGAGAAGCTCGAAACCGCAATCGTGGATCGTTTTATGAGCGATTGTGGAGGTATGAGTTGAGACGCAGTCGTTGAGGTAAATGACTCATTTCGCCGCCCTTCCTGTTCTTTTTCCTCGAATTTTTCGCCTGAGACATTACAAAGCTAACAATAGTTTTTCAGTGAAGATATGGAATCTTTCGAGGAAATCAATCATCACCACGCTTCAGGAATCCAAAGACACCGATCCTTTCGGGTCGTCAGCAGTCGATTCCCGAATGGATGAAACGATAACACGGTACCTTTCTGGGCGTGTACTGGCTGTCTGACTGAGTTTAGATGTGCTGAATTTCTACCTATATCATTTAACTCCCCCTGCTACTCCTTTTTAATAGTGAACTGTTGGAGCAGTTTCTCATGGACAATTGTTGAAATAAGCAGTGTCGGATTTCACGAACTTTCTGGACACCTCATTTACAGATTTCAAAAAGGCATCGCATCTAGTTAGGACGTTGTCCAATTGAATTAGGTTGAAAATGTGTGTCAACAATTGACGCCATTCGGCTTAAGAGTCCTCTAATATTTCGATGGCACATCATACATATACATCTTGCCGTGTACGTATTAATTCACTTTAGGCGAAGTTACCTAAGAGTAGATCTGTTTATCCCGATCAGTCTCATTTCGTCACTCATCTTAGAAACTGTATTTCCCTTTTTGTTGGGCATACTTCTTGACACCTCATTGCACACGTATGTGATTTGCAGACTTCTACGGTAGTGTTCTAGTTGTGGTCACCCTGTTGACAAGAACCTGTTTGCTTTTGGCATTCATATTGGTGTTTCTCTTTACTGTTCCCGTCGAGGTTAACTTTTAATCTCCAGTACGATCCTCAAGGCAACTGGCATGCCGGTGGCAAGAAGCCAACCGGAAATGCAGCAATATGTGGAGCCAGCGGTGAGCCAATTGCAAACACCGGTCGGTTCGTTGGACAGAGCAATTCGAACAGCAGTTCAACTGGGCACCATTGCCATCGAGTTGCCACTCTTATTTCCACGGTATCATTGAGGAGTAAGCATCTCTCAGCCATCTGAGGATACGTTTGCCCATGTGCATCCTCTTTTAAAGAGTCACAAATCTCCCGGTGCCGACCAATTGCGTCCAGCTCTTTTAAAGTATGACGGCCCGTGTCTTCTTCTTAAATCGACTACAATTATTCAACAGAGTTGCACCACGGAAGTCATCTTATCCGATTTGGGCTTAGCAGGCATCCTGTCTATCTTTAATCCATCCACACAACGTGTACTTCACAATGACGCTCCAGTCAGCCATTGACTGTTGTGCCAGGCCTTACACGTCGTGGTCCGGTGACTTAGGGGTATCGGTCACAACTAACATCCCAATGGTTTCGGGTTCCATGCCTGCTATCTTCATTTGATGAGATCGAATAAGATCGAAACGCGTCATGGATTGCAGTGTTTTCGGGTGGGCAATACCCGATTTCCATCTCTTTGACAAGAACTTTTTTGATTTTGGTATGCGCATTGATGTCTGTTTTCCTTGTCCCTCCTGATAATCCTCGAAGTTCACTTCTATTCTGTAGTGACATCCTCGGTGCGACTGGCATACATTCCTGTCCCTGGTTCGAATCGACTAGCCGGAGAGATCTTCGTGAAACACACACTTCTTTAGTGATACATGGTGGGTGCTGCTTGCTAGCTACAACGCGCACTCTACGGCTTGTTTCGTGCTCATTCGCGCGCTCATCAGGTAAAGACTACGACTCGTGCCCGCATTCTTTGAAATGTCAGCTGAACCCTCCACCACCGAGTCTCGATGAACTACGCTTATCACAATGCAGTCCTTCATATGGTTGGCGACATCCGGTTTCGGATTTGCCTGTCACTGTGGCCAGCCACAGGACGCCTGCGCCTACAGAGGGACCATGGGTGGATTGCGCTGCACCACCCACTGCTCCAACCACACACCCCATATCCAGTGTAAACCCGAAGTAATAAGACCGGGAGGCATGTGGATGGGAGCCACATTTCATCAACGGAGCCGGCCCACACTCCTTCACAGGCAAACACAAGCACGCTGTATTTGGGGAATCAAGCGCACACAAGGCGGTGGCTGGACCGTAGTCCGCTCCACACTGAGTGCATGAAACCGCTCTTTGAGCCTAGCACGACCACAAGGACCGTGCACCCCGTCCCCTCCAGCAACGACCAACTGTCTCCTGGAGCCAGTATGAACGAGGTAGTGGGTAATAGACAGGTAGGCACCTTGTCAACATGCACATCAAACGCAGCCACACCGGGGATATCAAGCAACAGCCATTCACTTGAGACGGCGATGAAATAAAATAAATCTAATAATGCATACAGACGCGGTGGCATAACTCTTCCCTAAATTACCATGTGAAGTAAGTTGATTAGCAACGAATCCGCGATAAGCAAGAAATGTCCAAAAGTTACTTAAACATGCTACAAACGCAATAAAATCACCTAAGGTAAGCGCAATTAGCGTTAGCAACGTGGCCAGTTAATATAAGATTATTCAGGTAAGCAGAACAAACCAAATAAAGTGGAATGAAATTTATCCAGCTTGAAAAGACCTAGTTTAAGTGTAAGTCGGTTTAGCCCATTCATATAGTCCATTCATGTACCTCTTTCAAATGACCCATCTACTGGGTTAGTGGGGCTTCAGCAGTACTCCGGTTCGCCGTGCCGACGCTTCGCTGCCACGTAACCACCACCAGTCGTACGTGCGCTAAGGGTACTGCGAGCGTCGCTCGCTCCCCCCCCCCTCTACGCAGGCTCCTAGTCGTGACCTCGGGGTTGGGGATGGAGATTTCGACTGACATCCCGAAGGTCCTGGGTTCAATTCGCAGTCCTACTGTTTCCACCCCTGATAAATGCGAATGCGTGCGAAACCGGTCGTGCAGTGCGGTGTAGCGAGTGCGCAGCGATTAGATACAGTGCTATTGATCGAATTGACCGAGATTCATTTCGATATGAACCATGACCCAGATTCGGTGTTTGCGTCGCTTTCCATTCACACACCCGCAACGAGTGCTACAAAATGACTCCTTCGGTCACTTCTCCCTTGGCCCCGAAATCTTTTTTGGCCTATATTTGTTGTACCCGCATTTACTTCGTCCTTCTCCACCAATTATTCAATCCGCTGCTGGCTACTGGCATGCCATTGCGATGAAAGGTTGTACCCACGGGTTACAAGGGCGCCGTAGACTGCTCAATTCTAGATTACGAAAACGTAACCCGTTCGCCAGCAGCACAAGTCAAATCCACATAAACTATATGCATCCATATGGAAAAAATTTCAGCCATCTTCTTACCATTACCATGGATCGGTCAATGACTCAGGAACGCCCAGCGAGCTCCTAGGCCATATTTAACTGGTGTGACCAGGGTTCTCGATCAGTTCCAGGTACATTTTGGGATGTCGCGTGACCAAGATTATCTTATCAATAGCGAGTTACATCTTTCTTCGAATCCCACTGATTGGGCCAATTTGTCCCCTTAGTGCTGTAACGAAAGTTCGTGTAGAGGCTGTCGTTTACTTAAGATGCCGATTTGTTTTGCCTTCCCTAATCCCCTGGAGCCGTTGGCGTTTTACTTGACGGAGCATGCTCTATAAACGTATAGGCAGCTCGGCACTCCATTGTCGCTCGACATCTTATTCTAATCGGTGGAATGCATTCAGGGATACACGCTATTGCAACATCCTCGCCCCTATTACAGTCTATCTATCACGCAACTCCATTGTACTGACAAAGACAATCAAAGTAGAGTCTTACCCGGTAGCCCAAACCTTTACTTCAAATGTCCATTCGTTCCGTTTCCAATCGTGGTCAGTGCATTCGGATATCACCCTGGTCTCTTAATATCTCATCGTTTTTATTGTCGCCATCGTCGTCTAAATGTTCACTAACTAATTTGTCTGACTGGCAACCAAACTGTTTGATTTAGTGGCATGTTTTTCAGATAAACATGTGGACTTCCATCGCCAAGATGTGCATTCCATTAATGTATTAAAATTTCAGCCAGTAGACGGGAATACCACGGCTTGGAGATGGAAGTCACGCACGACGCACATCGTTTCTTATGGACCCTGCTCCATTTAACATAATGAGTATATTACTCTAATTCAAGAGTCTCAATGAATCACGGGCAATGCTGGTCTTCAACAAAGCAAAGATTCCCATTCCATTAATATGAGTCAATATCAGAAATCAGTTCCGGGTGAAGAATTCTTTTCGGTAACCCTCATCGGACCCAAACGTTTACAAATCACGGATACTGTGGGATAAGCGTCAACTCGGGCTGGGATTTACTTCTAGACTGTTTGAGTGATCAAAATCAATAACTTGAGACAGAGATAGAGATGGTAGACCAAGTAAACTAAATACACATACATACGCAAAGCTCAATAGTCCAAAGTAATTAAGTGGGTAAAAGAACAGCCAAATAACTAAGTAACAGTGTCCGTTGGCCAAGGTAGTAGTAGCGGTCGTATGAATCGTTTCCGTATACATAATTCCGGCTTCAGCTGGTGAATGTAGATAGCCTCGGCGATGGATAAGAGCTGTTTGCGAAATCCTTGGGTGTAGTGTTCAGGTAGTGAATAAATGACTTTGTAGTCATTCTCTGAAGCGGTGTGGCCACATTCAAGGGGGTGCGACATGGTTGAGCTGTCTGAAGACCTCATTTCGCCTTAGTAAAACCATGCCGGGATGTGTTCACGAATCCTCGGAGATAGGCGTCTTGTCGTGCGATGCACATATCGTGCACCACAGGAGCACGAGTACTGATAAACGATCATTGAACGGGTCAACGACGGTAGTCTATCCTTCAAGGGTTTCGTAAGCAACGGCTTGTTGTGAAAAACGATTCTCAGCCGGGCCGCGAAATAAGTTTTCTCGACAGCGTCTGGATAACATATCAGTTGCAGAATCGCCCTTAAAGGGTATACGTATGTAAAGCTCTTTCTTAGGAGCAATGCTCCTAGGTGGCTTTCGATTGCGTTCCTTCAAATGTTTCATGATAAATTTATCAGGATAACCATTTTCCCTGAGGGCATCGCTGATTCTCTGTAGTTCTTCGTTCACGGTATCCGGTGTACAAATACTGCGCGCCCTGAAGGCGAGAGATCTGATTAAACTCCGCTTGTTTCGGTCTACTAACTTGGGAACTTTAATCCGCCAGTCCACTATGCTGACTGGGTGTTGGTGACGGCCCACCGCCTCGGGGACCTGTCACGCCTTATCCTTATTCTAACCTCTTCTTCCATCGTTTAAAGTACGTTCAAGGCACTAGATCGCGTCGCAGATGTATTACATGAGCAAGTGCCTGGAAACGCTTATTTCCAGAAACTTGCACACTGCGGTACTCTGTTGGCCTCATTATATCACCGGAGACACTGTCCTTGTATCTTTTTCGTTTACCAGCTATCAAACTTTTTTCCATTGTATTCCAGGATCCATTTTAGATCCCGGCACAGCGGGACTCGGCATCGATCGCCAGGGTTGGATGCTTCATGCGGCGGTACATGAGGCGCGACCGGATGTCCGTTGCATTATCCACTTAAATACACCTGCCACGGTTGCTGTGAGTTACCACGCTTGTTTGTTCGTCTCTTCTGTGTTCTACACTGCTCTGACTCATTACTGCCGAGTCGCGCACAGGCGCCTTCTCCACTCGTCTACCGCATTTTTCACCTTGAGTTGAAGTGTATGAGGTACGCCGACAAGGCAGTGGTTACTCATGGTCAGACACCTACCCCTTTGTGGTCATGATGCGACGATCCTCCTCCTGTCCGCTTGCTACGTTCTCTGGTCGAGTGGATTACACACTCATACATTATTTACCTTTTTCATGAAATAGGTGTTCTTATTTTACTCCAGCTTATTCCAGTATCTTTTTGATCGCATTAAGTGTTGTGTATAACTGTGTACAATCTCTGGTTAGATGCATTTTGTAGATCGCAAGCCGAGTAATTTCCGCACACATCGTTCTTGTATTCATCCGATAGCCGGATGTTTACGACCCTACGGGGTTCGTAAACGATGGGCACCCTAACACCAAATATTTACATAATACCTTTGTGTCCCCTCTAGACCCCCCTTCAGCCACGTCCTTTATTCGTAGCGTTTATTCATCAACAGCAACTACTACTACTACTAGTACAACATTTCCTCAGCCATTTAAACTGATGCTCCGCTGCCACAGCGATCTACGGAACAATAAGAGGAAGAGAAGGGGGGATTTAGCGAAAATCCTTAATGCCCTAAACAAACACTTGGGGTCAAGGCACCTGCACCTTTTCAGCGACATACCATCTTGTGCAAATAAAAGGCGGTGTCGGCGAAATAGCATCCTTGCGTCTTTCACTGCCCCGCAGATAACTCAGCACCATACACACTTTAAACAAGCAATCCGACTACGAGACGATAGCATGCTCGCCACCGGTGTCGGCTGCGAGCCATCTGTAACGTCTCAAGTCCAGTTTAAGGCAGGTCACTTGGACTCCAGCCTGGAAAGGCGAGAGGGACAGACGGCATCCAGTTTGGTCATCATGGTCTTCATTTCCTGCTTCCAAGTCAACTTTTGTCCACCTCAGGCATTGTGCTACCTTACATCTGACAGACAAAACAAAGCTCTCCGCGGTAAGCGGGGATAAGCCATACGTGGTACATGCCCAAGACAACGCAACTTATTCATTGCTATCTGTTGTTCTAAAAAAAACTAGTTTGGTTTTCACTGCCCAGCAGCCGCTTACGCATGTCGTTGCGGATATGCTGGTGCCATCCGACACCGGTGCGATGATCAAAAACTTGAAAGTGCCGCAAGTCCTTAGATCGGAAGGGCTTGGTCTCACTCCTATAGAATGGGACGACCCTCACGGTGACCTTGTTTTCCCGGTCTTTCAGAGGAAAGGAAGCCCCTTTCTGACGCTACAGATGTCGCGGATTTAAAAAGTTAGTTATAGCTTTTGCAATGTATGAACTGACTTCAGTTATTATGCTCCCATCGTTGCTGATGCAGCTGCCAATGTAGGTGAAGTGATCAACTTCCTCGAGTTCCTCGCCCTCAAGGGTCAATGGGTCATCAAGCGACTGGTAATTCTGTAACAATTTGCACTTTGAAGGTGCGAAGCGCATGCCAAATGAAGAGACTACAGTAAAGGGGTTATTCCGGATTAATCGCGCCGACCCAACATCGTCAAGAAGCTGAACAAAATCGTCCGCATAATCAAGATCAACTAGAGTTTCACCAGGCAGCACTTCAACGCCTGTATCGTGAGGCACGGTTGCAACTTGTCAGACTGCTACTGCTGTTGATGATGTGGGTTATGAAGCACTGGCTTCTCTAGAACCTCACTCCATTACTATATTTGGTCGAGAAATTAGCATGACTCAGTCTCCAAGTTGGCGCGCTTTTCATATCACCGTTTGCAACTGCACCTGTAAAACACGTTTTCGTATTCGTTCTGATTTTATTTTTTGATGTTGGTGGTGTACCTCGGTTGGCTTGCAGCGCTTTTTTAACGAGGTGAATCACCTTGAGTCTCTCTCCCTAAATATCAAACATCCTGTGCGCAGATATTACTCTCTCAACACAGCACTCCACGACTGGTTTCGTCCTAGTTTTGACTTTACAGTTAGAGGTAGGCTGTGCTGAGGGTGAAACCCGACTAAAGGTGTTTGACGGCCACCGCTTGGTCACTGAGCCAGAGCTCCGTGAGCAGCGCTTGACTTAGTGGTTGGAAGTTCGTTGTCAGATTTGTCAAACCCGTTAGTCGCGGTGATCGAAGTGACCATTTTACCCTAAAGTAGACCGGGATGTCAAGTGAATTTGCATGTCGCAATCTAAACCGACGGCGGGCAGCCCCAAACTAAACTAAACTTCCAACTGCAGTGTCAAACGCTGCTCGCCTAGATGAATGGTTTGGTTATCGAGGTAGAACCCTTCAAACACTTTTTCAGGTCCCACTCTCAGCTCAGGCTATCTCCACCTGATGAGTCAGAATTAGAACTAAACCGGTCGGTCGCGGAGACCTTAGTATTCGGAGAGTGCAACACCGTCACTGTTCACTTGTTACGATCTAACCGTCGGGGATGTTCAAAGTGAACAGTAGTTCTAATTGAGGTTGACTGTCGTAATCCATTAACCATTGGAAAGCATCCTTTATATTCTGGACCAACGATTACCTGAAAAGCGCTTGTAAAACAAGGTTACATAGGTATATTTTGATTACTTAGCAAAACGAATACGCGGTCACAAGTACCTGGTTATCTTGTATAAGTGCGTTAGTTGCCATACCTTCCATCTTAGCCAGGCTGACTTACATACATCCACCTTGGGCATATCGTCTTTCCAAATGTTATGCAATACTTCCAACCGCACCTGGAGTACGTCTGACGTGCCACAGTCTCGATATACTAACTGTCAGTTTTTTATGTCTTAACATGTCGAGCCGCGTGCATCGGGGGGGAACTGCTCATTAAAAATAACTCTTAACTAACCTGTCTCTATATTCTCGTGCGTCCCCAACAGAAGTCATCATCATCATTCCATATCTCCAGCTGCGGCAGCTATCACCATCTCCGTACAAAAACACCCAACGTTTGACCTGGTTACAATTGCTGTATTTTCTTTTACATTCATCCTATGGTATATGGAATTGTTCACCATTTGTCCATACAGTTCCTTTGGCTGAAATTACCTTCTCTCAGGCTCACTCGCATTTTGCGTCGCACATGACGGAGCAAGCACCCCGGTTCATTCTTGGAGTTTTTCTGCCCATTGTTTTACTCACTTTTTTCTTGTCATCTATCTCACTCCATCTATAGGGACCTTGTCTTTCCTTCTCACCTGCCAACCGCCGCCTTTCATCTAGCTATCTGTGTAATTAAATGGAGCGCCTTCCCATTGCCTCGATCGATATCTGCTGCTTATCGTAGACCCGCCTGCTAGACTCGAGCTCTGTGCTCACTTTGCGATCCCCATCAGGTGACACCGGCAGCACTTTCTCGTTGCGCCTATCCGGCCAAGCTCGTGTTGGTACTACCCTGAGTCCCCGGGCTGAAGCTACTCTGGTTGATTGGATTAAAATCAGTAGCCGGTTGTGTGCGGTCCGATTGGCTGGCTCGTTCAAAGCTTCGAAGTCTCGCGTGACTAACAGGTGTCTATTCGTCATCACTGCCTATGCACCCACAAACTCTAGCGATGATTCGATAAAATGCGACTTCTATCGTCAACTGAACGAGCTCCTTCGCTACAGATGAAGCTCAGACACTGTTGTGCTGGCTGGGGATCTGAACGCGCAAGTTGAAAAATTATCCACTGGTGAACTGCATCTGGGCGGCCAACATAGTGTAGGCTCCCGTAATGATAACGGTGAGCGGTTACTTCATTAGTGTGAAGATGCTTGCTTCTTTCTTGCGAGCACTACTTTCCGACACAACACCCGCTGGAGGGTGCCTTGGCGCACCTTGGACGCAAATCAATCACATTGCGATAAGTCACCGATGGAGAAGCTGCGTTCAGAACTGTCGCTCGATCTGGACACCGAACATGCACTTGTATGTGCTGACCTGCGGATGCGTTTTGGCAAACGCCCAAGACGACGTTGTGAGCGCATTGACACCAGCCAACTGGAAAACCAGCTGTTCTGAATATGTATCAAAGTACGCTGTCATGCGCGTTGAGTAAGCACTCACTGGATGCGGTTGAAGCTCACTGGTCTCATATTCATCAGTCTTTACTAGCATAAGGCAAATCCTCATGTGGTAAGTCTAATAGCCAACATGGACATTGGGTCTCTTCACGGTCTCTGGAACTTATCGACGCTCGTCGGCATATCCCGGTTGGAAACGAACACAATGAAACTCTCAAAGAGCCCCGGGCAAGAGTCCGTGTTAGCCTAAAGAGACTGCGAATTTTGCTGGTCCCTTCGTGCATCAGAGATGGAAGTGGCCGCTGCCCTTGGTAACCATCGAAAGTTATTCCGTCTTATACGGGAAATGGGCAGCAGGAGACCTGGTGTTAGTGAAGCTATACGTGACGAGAGTGGACAGCCTATCCACAATTTGTCAAAACACTTGCAGCGCTGGGCTGAGCACTTTGAAAGGCAATTTAGTCAGTCGGAATTGTTAGATTTCTCGTCGGCCACTGAACCCCCCGCTCCCTCGCCTGTCCCGCTTGATCCACCCTCTCGCTCAGAACTCGAACGTGAGATCGCACTGTTGAAGTTAAATAAAACCGCGGGACCAGATGATCTACCTCCAGCCCTCTTCAAATTCGGGGGATCTGCTCTTGTGGATGATTTATACGATTTGTTAGTGAAACTGTGGGAGCAGGAAACTGTCACAACATAATGGAACCGCTCCGTCATAGTCCCAATTTTCAATTGAGGCTCACGACCTGAATGCGGCAGCCATGGAGGAATCAGTCTGATCTCCATCGACTCCAAATTGCTTGCATCTGTCATGCTTCACAGACTGACTGGCACTCGTGAAAGCCAGATTCGTGAAGAGCAAGCCCGGTATCTTCGAGGTCGTGGCTGCATTGACCACATCACTTTGCATCAGTTGTTGGAGCACCGTCACACATATTGGCGACCCACCGTTGTCGTGTTCCTTGCTACAAAGGTGCATTCGATTCGGTGGATAGACATGGATTTTGGGATTGTCTACTCAGGAAAGTTGTACCTCAGAAATATGTAAATATTATCCGATCACTATACTCGCGTAACTCGGGCAGAGTATGGGCTTACGACAAGCTGTCGTCGCCCTTTTATATCTCCAGTGGTGTGAGACAAGGATTCCCGCTGTCACCTTTCCTCTTCAACTTCGCTATTGACGAAGTCATGGAAATCGCGCTCACAGGACACGACTTAGAAGGTGTGGATCTGCTCCCAGGAGAACGACATCTTGACTTGTAATATGCTGACGATATTGCCCTGATCTGTGACAGCTCCCAGACGTGCCAAGCGGCACTGGACAGATTAGCATTTGCTGTCAACCGCTTCGGGCTTTGTTTTGCACCATCAAAGTTCAAAGCGTTCCTCCAAGATTGGCCTGAACCGCCTGCTCGGCTGACCAATGGTGGGGATCAGCTAGAAGTCGTTCTAAAATTCAACTACCTGGGAAGTTGTATCAGCGCCCATGGGATTGAAGATGAGATCACGAACCGTATAGCAAAAGCTTGAGGCGCTTTTGCTATCCTTCGCCACTTGTGGCGGCCGCACAATATCACTCTTGCCCTGAAGGGTAGAGTGTACAATGTAGCGGTACGTTCGACCCTACTGTACGGTTTTGAAACCTGGCCGCTTAAAGCAGCGGGCCTGAAGAGGCTAGTTATGTTCGACCACCGGGACCTTCGCAGTTTGTATCACATCTGGTGGGAACACCGCGTGAGCAACGTGTGTGTTCGATGCCTTGTTTACGGCACGGGAAAAGGAAATGAACCGCTCAGCACCGTTATTTCACGCACCAGGCTCCGATGGCTGGGCCACGTGTTTCGCATGCCAGCCCACCGACTCCCGCGACATGCGTTGTTTGCGTGCCGGGGGTGTGGAAGGAAGAAGAGGATAGGTGACCAATCGATGAATTGGTCGAGAGGGATGAAGGCCCTCACTTCGAAGCTGGCCTCAGTTGGAGCGTCTCGGTTCCCTGGTTGGGGTCCGAAAGACGATGAACACGTTCGGATGGATACATTCGTTGATATAATTAGGAGCCGACATCAGTGGCGCTCGTGCTGTGTGTTTCTTTTTCCCACCCCAACTTTCAGCCTCTCCCTCCAATCCCGATCTCATATTTTAGCGTTTTATAATTCCGCATAATAAACTATTTTTTTCTGCCGCATGGTTGTAGCCGGCAGGTAGCTTACCGGATCGATGCCCATTCGTTACCGGTAGCTCAGCTGGCTTGCACCTGTTGCAATTTATTCCCCTTTTCCTTTTAGGTATTGCAGCACAGTAGCTGTGTTTCCCGCCTCTAGCTAACGTTTATAGTGTGTGTTTGTGCCTGAGCTTGCGTCTTACACAAGTCCCCGATCGGCACCAATGATTGTATTGGAGGTCAACTGCCTTCGAGCACCACTTGTGTACCCGACACCTGACTAGACTGACTGCCGCAAAATGGGTTCATCTGGTTCCATTGTACTACCATTCCACTCTTTGGTGGATGCGGTGCAGCCACTAGGTCAATGGCCCCCTACTTTCTAACTCCCAACTGCTCCGTGTGATGGCTCTAGTTATCACTTCTTTCCACTAAATTATTGTTAGTATTAATTATAATATTCGCTCTGTTTTTATGGTCATTGTTTTGGCAACGTCTGTCAAGCCAACTGGGTTCACCGTACTTCAGCGCACTGATCGTAGTCGGCACATGTGCCACCTACTTTGCCACTCGCAAACGTGGACTACTATTTGCTACATATACTATTACCGGTACTTTAGATCAATTTTCCGTGGTGTGTCCTTTTCCTGTTTACTATTTGATACTTGGACTTATAAAGCCGCCGTTTGCCACGCAATTTTCTCCCGACACCATCCGAATCCGCTTCCACTGTTTGCCGACAGGTTTCAACATCTCGATCCATGCTTTTTTCACTAAACAATGTGTTCATTATCAAAATATTCGCTTTTGTGGCCACCTCTGTTCGTTCCAGGTCTCTTGCACCAAATCTGGACTGTTACCCGTCAGTCAGGAAGCGATGATTTTGGGAGAATGTTGCACCTACGATCCCAGTGTATTAGTCAGCAATGCTTCGCACGGTGATTCCGAGGAGGATGCTGCCACTCGCCGAGAACGCCGTCATGCGGAGGAACGCGCTGCTATTGCAGATATTCTGAATGGACAATCACAGGAATGCGTTGTGCTCATGATACGTAACCATGGTTTACTGGCTATGGGTCAGTCGATCGAGGAGGCCTGGTTTACAGCTTTCACTGCCGTTGTAGCTTGTGAAACTCAAGTAAGCCATCTGTATTTATCCCATACTTTCCCTCTGACCCTCAAATTATTTGGAATCTTGCGATCGAGATTGGCTCACTAATATCATTTTAATAAGTATATGTTGCTGCAGTTGACACTTGCTTCGCTTGTACGCACTCTCAAAGCTGACGCATCCTGTGTCTCGGGGACACGCGCACAGGAAATTAACGTTCTAATATGTCTACGCTTCACAAATAATCAGGATAGACTCCGGTGAACAACGACTTGAAGCTATTGACTGAAGGCAAAGTGCGTTTTTCTCGTTTCGATCCACTGTACCATCCACTTCAACTCCATGTCTGTCAATGTTGAAATCTATTTATTTAGGCTCGGATATCTTGATCGTCATTGGTGACGTGCATTCTCAGGTCGATCACCTGTTGGAGTCACAGCATCCCCTACATAACAAAGCGCTGGCATTGAGTCCAATGACTGCTCTCTTACACCCATTGTGCTCGTAACGCCATCAACCGTAGATGGTTCACTTCCGTGCACTATTGTCGGTCTATCTGAACAATTTCACCAATTCAAGTCCTACCTTTGTGGGTGACAACAAAACACTCCATAGACTTCAGCATGGGGCATTACTGCGATGACGCTCGTTTGTAAATTCCGTTCGTTATCCACGATGCAGCAATACATACCTGAACTTTAACATCATTTTTGCTGCTGAATGGTAGACGGCATCTGTGTCTGGATTCGCCCGTCACTGCGGCTTTAATGGGGACAGCCAAAGGATGCCTGCGCTTACAGATGGACCATGGATGGCTTGCGCTGCACCACCCGATCCATCCACATACCCCATCTCTAGTGTAAACCCGAAGGAATCAAACCGGGAGACATGTGGATGGCAGCTGTGTTTCATCAACGGAGCCGGCCCACATTACTTCAAGATGCACAGCATCAGCATTCCTGTCTATCTATATTGGGAATCATGCGTACCAGACGTACAGAAGGCAGTGGCTGGGCCGTAGTCCGCTCCACACTGAACGGAACCACTCTTTGAGCCTAGCGTGGCCACAAGGACCGTACACCCTGTCCGCCCAGCAATGATTCACAGTCTCCTGGAGCCAATAATCGAGGTGGAGGGTGGTATTGACAGGCAGGCACTTTGCCAACATTCACATTAAGCGCAGCCACACCGGGGATATCAAACAGCCAAAACTTCACAATTCATGCTACAACCATATAAACTCATACTATATTCACACCGCTGTAGATCTCATCTCTCACCACCTTTAGCCCCTTTACGTGCATCACAACATACCTATTGCGTAACAATGCCTGTACCACTTTGATCATGCTCGATAAGATGCGCCTAGATGGATTCGAGTTTAAATTTGATATATATATATATATATATATATATATATATAACATTATTTGATTGAAGATAAGCACGCAATATTGACATGGAGTATGCAGCAGCAAAACAGAACTGCGCGCATCAAATGCAGTGGGATACATGTTATCCATATTAGGAATATCTAGTTTATGTGTAAGTTGGTTTAGCCCAACTGCGGTGAAGAAGCATCATGAATACAGCCTCAGCATGGGGCACAACGGGATGGTTGGCAGCATCCGGTTTCGGATTTGCCTGGTACCGTGGGCAGCCACAGGACGCCTGTGCCTACAGAGGGACCATGGGTGGCTTGCAGTGCACCACCTACAGCTCCAACCACACACCCCATATCCAGTGTAAACCCGACGGAATAAGCTCGCCAGGCCTGCGGATGGGAGCCACGTTTCATCAACGGAGCCGCCCTACACTCCTTCACAGGAAAACATACATTGTATTTGGGGAACAAAGCGCACACAATGCGGTGGCTGGACCGTAGTCCGCTCTACACTGTGTGCATGGAACCAATCTTCGTCCATAGTACCACCATAACGACTGTGCACCTCGTCCCCTCCAACAACGACCAGCTGTCTTCTGGAGCCAATATGGACCAGGCAGTGGATAATAGTCATGTAGGCACCTTGTCAGCATGCCAATCAAACGTAGCTACACCGGGGATATCAAACAACTCCCAATCACTTGAAATGACATTATCAAATAAAAACTATCCGTTAAAGCATACGGCTATGCCGACATTACTCTTCGCTAAATTATCATATGAAGTAACTTGGTTAGCAACGAATCCGCGATAATTGCAAAACGTTCAGAATTTTTTGGAAAAATGCCGCAAATGCGATAAAGTTGACGAAAATAATCACATGCTGAGACTGACATTGCATTCATGCTTCTTCTTCACCGCGGTTGGGCTAAACCAACTTACACTTAAACTACGTCATTTTAAGCCTGATTAATGTCATTCCACTTTATTTGGTTTCTTCTGCCTACCTGCATAATCTATGGACTTGCACTCGTTGCTTCCGCTAATTGTGGTTCTCCTCGTTAACTTAATTACGTTTGTGGCATATTTTGTTTAAGTTGTGCATTTTGTACTTATCGCGGATGCGTTGTTAACCAACGTTTTTCAAGTGCTAATTTAGCGAATATGTATGTCGGCATAGCCGTCTGCTTTAACGGATGTTTTTTCATTTGATAATGTCCTTTCAAGTGAGTGGCAGTTGTTTGGTATCCACAGTGTGGCTGCGTTTGATGTGCATGTTGACAAGGTGCCTACCTGTCTGTTATCCACTAACTCGCCTATACTGGCTCCAGGAGACAGCTGGTCGTTGCTGGAGGGGACGGGGTGCACGGTAGTTATGGTCGTACTATGTTCGAAGATTGGTTCCATGCACTCAGTGTAGAGCGGACTACGGTCCAGCCACCGCATTGTGTGCGATTGATTCCCAAATGAAGCGTGCTTGTCTTTGCCTGTGAAGGGGTGTTGGCCGGCTCCGTTGATGAAACGTGCCTCCCGGTCTTATTCCGTCGGGTTTACACTGGATATGGGGTGTGTGGATGGAGCTGTGGGTGGTGCACTGCAAGCAACCCATGGTCCCTTTGTAGGCTCAGGCGTCCTGTGGCTGGCCACAGTGCCAGACAAATCCGAAACCTGATGCCGCCAACCATATATCCCGTTCCAGCGAAAGGTTCAGCGGCAGTGTTCCAGGACGTGGTGGGTTTTCGCTTGGCTGGCGTTCTCCCTATAAAAAGCCACGTATGTCCGTTTAGCAACACTGCGACGTGGCGGATGTGACTCGCTACTAAACAAAGTCACTGCCCCTTGCCTCACCTCGCTGGAGCATTGTAATCCTTCCGCTTGACGCTGAATTACTTGCAGTATTGGGCCCCTGTTTGGCAGCCAGCTAAGCCAAAATCGTATGAAACGTGCTATGGGTCACCTGCCCCCAATGGCCGAGATTCCCTGAATTCGCTCCGCTGCTGTGTGCGTCAGGTCCCTATGACCAAAAGCTCCGTGTTGGGCCCTCTAAGTTAACCCCCTTCCTCTGCCTGGGCAACAGGGAAGCTGTATGCCCACACAACACATGATATGATGTGATAATGAATTTACTGCTCTGCTCACGTTTCTCGCTCTGTGAGCTCTCTCTCTTTTTGGCCGAGGTGCTTGCGGTCGCGCATGCTGAACCTCACTCTACCGCTCCGCAAACCACGTTTCTCGTTCCACGTTTGTACAACCCTCCTGTTCCTGGCCATCCCCTCCAATTTCCAGTCACTCATGGTGCATTGCAAATAAAAGCGGCACCTTTAGCCTCGTCAATGAACCGCTCAAAACCGATCGCACACATTTTAATACCAACAGCAAGGCTTTTATTGCACCCGGCTCACTCTTCAAGCTAGCTACGTTCAGTGTTCGTGCGCTCATGCAGCTTGGATCACTGGCTGCTCCTGCTCGCATTTGGAAACCCTATCAATGGACGTTTGCTGTCTAACCGAAACCCGTTTACAGGTTTTCAGCGCAGCGCTGCGATTGCCCTCATCATCCTCAAGTTCCGATTGCACATTCGCCTTTCACTTGTCTGGAAATGCGACAGAGGCAACCTCTGGTTGCGCCGGCGTAGGAGTTGCGTAAGCGCGCGTGCTGTGGCAGCGCTGATTGACTGGTTCCCGGTCAACAGCTGTCTTTGTGCCGTCCGCTTGGTAAACTCAGTGCGAGGTTCCAACCACGGGACCAGTAGGGGCTGCTTATTCATTGTGGCGCCGTACGCTCCTACGAACTACAGTCCGGACGAAGCTAAAGACGATTTTTACCGCTAACTCACCGACCTCCACAAGAAACGCCACACGGACATCGTGATACCCGCCGGAGACCTAAATGCGCAGGTCGGTAGACTAGAGGTTTATGAGCGCGAACTTGGGGGTCAACACAGCCACGGTACTCGCAGCATAGACAAAGGCAATCGAATCTTTCAACTCTGCACCGACCACGGCTTGTTCTTTTCCTGCACTAATTTCCGATTTTTCTAGCGCCAACAAGCCACCTGGGGACCTCCGGCGCCTGGTCAAGCTTGGACGCAGATTGACCACATCACTGTTATTTACCGTTGGCAAGGCTGCATATAGGACTGCAAATCAATTTGGAACACTTACCTGATTTCGGATCAGGCGCTCGTGTGTGCTAAGTTCGTTCTGCGCTTTGGAGGCACCCAACAGCGTCGCCGAAAACGACTTGACACAGACAAGCTGGCCACCCCAAATGTTCTCGGCGCATTTCAGAACACGTTAGCCTCCAACCTACGTTCTCTATACTCCGACGTTAAGACGCACTGGGTACAGATCCAGAGCGCCTTACGAAAGTCCGCTCTGATCTGTGGCTTCATTAGACAAGCTGCTAGTCATTGGTTTTCCGCACAGTCTCTCTGCTTAATGGAACCTCGTTGAATGATTCCCGCCGGAGTTGAGTACAAGGCACTACGCAGAACCACAAGTGCTGAGCTCAGACAGCTCCTCAGGAAGGATCGCGAGGTTTGGTGGACACAGCGCATCGTTGAGATGGAGCGGACAATCTCAACAGAAAACTCCCGCGAACTTTACCAACGTATTCGCTCCACGGGAGACAGGTCAACAGT